CATCCCCCATCCCCCCACCGTCCCCCCTGGAAACGCGGAAGTTTCTCTGGACTGGATCGCACGAGCTCGATGGGCAAATGCCACGAGAATCGCAAGAGGCGGGAGATGGTCCGAAACTCTGGTAGAGGGGATCGAGTAATCGACTCTAAAACTCAACTAGAAACTGTGAAAAAGGGGGAGGGGAAAGAAAAAAAAAATCGAGAGGGAATTGGCGAGAGTAAATGGGTGGGTGGAGGGGGTCCCTCTGCGTGGAGTATTGTGAACGGTGGGGCCCGTATGCGACGGTTCTCCAGCGCGCGGTGGCCGTCCGGCTCTTCAACGAAGCCGTCAGTGTCTTCCTGAACGTGAAACGGGATCGACGGAATAACCGTGTACCCCAGTGGAATCGGTGGTACCCCAAAAAACGCGCCCCCCCCCCCCTCGTTATCCCCGATCACCACCCCCAACTGGATATTCTGGGATTTGAAAAGCCATGGAGATGTCCCCCATGTGCAAATAATCACATACGATGGGACAACACTGACGCATCATTTGGTCATTCGAGGGGAACAACTGTCGAGTCTAGGCAATGTTCATCCGTTTCTACTTGTTCTACGGTCTCTCAAAATTTACGAAGAAAAAAGGAATTGTAATAGTGATAGCGAGTGATACGATTTAGAATCAAATAATCATGAACACTTTGAGGTATTTTAAAATAGTGAATTGTCATTGAGTACGTCGTCAATAGTCTGTGGTGTCACACTGAACGCAATCGGGCAAGGCCACAGTGGTTTTCTGTTTAAAATAACAGTGTTCAGTATAAATAAATAGTGATTGATAGTATTGATTAACGATTGTATTTACGAATGAGCTGTACAATGGAGTATCAACAGTTGGCACCACCACCGGTGCCGGTTGTGTCCCATCAGTCTCATCATCCCCAAGTGCAACATCCGAATCAACAGTCACATCATCAACAGGCGGTTGTTGCAACAGTACCACCCCCACATCCTCACATTGTACTCGCGCCGGCGCATCAAAATCAACAACCGCCCCCAAATTTACCACCACCTACCACACACGCGCATCAAGTACATCCACCCCTACCCTCCATTCATGATGACAGCACCAGCTCTAGATGGACACAGTATCAGCACATATGGCGACAGCATCATGTCTATATGAATGGTGAGAACCATTCCACTTACATTCAAAATTCATTAAAAAAAAAAATCATTAGCTATCGGCTGAATCGGCTTGGATAGCGACTCACTGATATTTAAAAACTGCCGATGGAAGTAGTAAATCAACTGCCAATACCTCCGAATCTGGAGGAGATAGCGCAATAATCGTGGGGCCTTATTTGTAGAGCTGATGCTGATCTTCAAAAAGTTGTCAGCACAACTGCCGCTATCTCCCACAGATTAGGTGATATCCCCGAAAAAAAAAATGAGAGAGTGAAAAAAAAACTAGCGCTCTGTCCGAGGTATCTTGTCCCGCGCGCCTAGTGCTTCGATAAAAATAGAATGAAACAGGATATTCAGTTGAAATTTGTTTCTATGCGTCTTTATCTCAGGAGTGACGCTCAACAATACCAATAGGGATGGGCATCACTAGAAAATAAAATGCGAGCCTATCCCCCAAGTTCCGCATTCATTCCCACAATAATAGACACTTTTTGACAATGCAACACCATTTTATTGAATAAATTTTTTTTTTATCATAATGGGATATTGTGGTATGACAGGTCTTAATATGACGAACAGAGATTACCGGACGATAGAGTCCCTGACCCACTGACCGTAACCTCGACGACCTCTTCACGTACATGTGCAGTTAATCCCCGGCCCAAACGAAGCCACACCGTGTCCGATGGCTTCATACCCACCTATATCACCTCTAGGTGAATAAATTCTATTGAGTTCCAACGCTCATTATAACAAAACCACAAATCTCAAATGGTCGGTCAAAAAAAAAAATGAAATAACCATCGATGAATTATCGGTTGAGGTTTATCATCATCCAACAAAACCAAAGATGTTCTCAACTCATTGTAATTGATTGCAGTCCTTGAGGCAGTCCTCTGTGGCTTTTCGAGAGACTCTCCATCATTGGATAATTATACAATATTTCCTTGGGCTTGACTTTTTCCACTTGTCGTCGCGTTTTCCCGAACGTTTACCACTATTTTTACCATTTTCACCCTATCCATCAACTCTGACGTTCGACAGTCGGATAACTATCGCAATGTTGATAGCCACTATACAGCCACCAAACTAGTTCACCATTTGTTAATTACAACGAGCTTCCGTTTCACTCAAGTACGTGGCACCCGCTCAGGTGAGCCCATTTTCTTTCGAGCGATAAATGCAAAAAAAAAAAATAAGAAAAATATAGAAGTTGAAAAATGATAAAGCGGATGGGAGATAACAGGCGCTAGTCTAATATGTATTTTATGGCCTCGGTATGTACCCACTCCACATACACCTCTTTTTTTAGCCGTCGAAAATTGCTTATTCGAGTGTATTTATTCTCGAGAAGCAAGAACTGAAGAGCCGTTGGGAACCGTCAGTTTCTTCTTGTGGGAAATTGGTTAAAAAAGAATAAATGACGTGAGATAAAATAAGAGAGGTTTCCGAGGTGTCCGTTTGTGACTAACCTTTACAATTTATATTTGAGTGTGTCTGTGTGGGCCGCGATTACTTTCTCCAGGGTGCGCGCTTCTCTCGTCCGGCTCTCAGCCGCACCTCAAGAGATCCAAAGAACTAGAGACTTCTTCCGGGTTTTCAAGCGGATAAACCACTACATTTTCGCCAACCAGCACTCCGTCATCTTCCTGGTACCACCAAGAGATCCACACCATCATTCTCCCCTTCTCTTTATCGTTATCACCATTTTCACCTTCTGTCAACTCCACCCGGTAATAACGTTTCTCTTTATTCACATTTTTATCACTCTTTTAATTCATCAGGTGTTTGTACCTGCGCTTAAACCGGTTGTCCATGTACTTTTTGCAGTTTGCCATTTTTTTTTTTCTCTCAATATCACGAGGAAATTTCACATCTGGAGGTTTTTGTCAATCTGATATATACGCATGTCAATGAGTGTTAATCTTCTTTCTGGTTTATATCACCTCGTATTTTTCAATTGACTTTTTATGTGGGCCAGTGTGAGAGATATGGGAGAAAGGGGAAGGCAAATATTAACCCGCGGTGACACATATGATTATTGAAATTTCATTCCATCTGTATCAATACACACCGGCTCTGGCCGATGATCATCTACGGGGACAGTGAGAAATGACAAATATCGCTTTGATAGATCTGAATTCGTTACAACCGGTGAATTATCCGGCGTTTATTCATTCGCGCTTTATTGTACCGATAAAATATTTAATATCGTTTTGAGATATGTGTTTGTACATGGGATGGGATTGTGTGCGTGAGACCCACTTAATTCGAGCGTCGGTGAAAGCGAAAGTCATGTGACTTCCTAGTTTAACGAGGAAGCAAAAGAACACCATGATGCGGGAACACGCACACTTGGCTACATAATAATTAATTGCACCGTGGAAATCAAGCCAATTTTTTTTTTCTTTCTTTTTTTTTTTCATTTCGAGTCGCTATCTCACTTCCGTTACTCGATCCTATTCCGGATGGGGTACGAGGTTTCAATCTAAACCGATGAAAATACACCATCGATTGAAAATAAATATTAATTCACTTTCTTTCGGTAATTAATAAATTATCATTTCCATTATCGACGTAATACTTGGAATGTAGAATTCACGAGATAAACTTTCGTTTTTAATGAATCGAGTTTATCACGTATCTGACCTCCCAGAACACTCACAATTGTCAATTGTGAATAAATTAAAAAAAAAAAATACTATTTATCGCCTCGAAACTGATTTAATTGGCCATCTAATTTCATCGGTGCAATCGTGGATATTCAAACAAACGACTGGCATAATTGTCAATTAAATTGATGGCCATCGATGCGCCAGTAGGTGCGCGTAGAGAGGAAATCAAATTGTACCTCGAAATTCCATTAAAGAATTTTTATTGTCGAGTTACCACAGACTGACAATTGAGGCCGAGTGAAATTTTGGGCCCGGTTGGTTCCAACCCGGACCTTCTATTCCTCGTTTTTTCTCTCTCTCTCTTATTTCTTCAGCGACTCTTTTTCATTTTAATTCTCTCCCGAAATGGAATTCCAGGGAACTTCTAATGGTATCTCCGTCCAATGGAGATCCGGCTATTAGTCTTGTACCAGTCTCACTTTCTAACTGTGAGGTGGGCCTCTTTGTTTGGCCAAAATCCATTTTTGGGTCACGAGTGTTAGGCCCAGGGTGAAAGGAGGCCGTTTGGTCCCCCCGAAAATTGTCTCTTTCTCCTCGCTCGGTTAACAAATGAAACTTTCAATGCTCCACGCAAGATTAAATAAAAAAAATATCTATTATTTTCAAATCGAACAGCTCATCCACACCAAATCATATTTCATACACTTATATTTTATTTTTATTTCGCAAACCGTCTCTCCTACCTCAATACTAAAAAAAAAAATTGAGAAATATTAACGGCCCCTGGCATCTGCGTCTTACTGATAAATGAGATGGTCTATATTCAAGATGATGGCACTGTTTGTCAGCTGTTTGGTATTATAATTTTAGCATCATACATATGTGCATTTAGCGGATGTAGCCATGTATTTAGCATGCAGTAATAAAAGAATTTTCACATTAAAATTTGCCAAGATCAAGAGAATTTCTTTCTCGTCATCACACCAACTTCCACGAGCAATTCAAATATTTGACAACTCCAGTCCAGAAAGTCCCAAAGCCACCACTCGAAAAATACAATAAAAAACCCATTAAAATTAATTATCGTACTATTAATGCGGAAACAACAGTCGTGCCTACCTTCGCTTTCGTTTTCCACGGTTGCCCCCACCACAAATTTAACTCAAAAAAAAAAAAAAAATGAAGAAAAAGTCGCCTCTCGCATTCACACTCCGCTGCTTTCCGATTCTCGTCACCTTATCCTCTCACGATCCGTTAAATTCAATGAAAACTCCACCTGAGGAAAAAAATTCATTTCCAAATCCACTTCCGGGTCAGTGAAGATTGGTCAGAAGATTTGGACTTGCACGGTACAATTGCGCGCTCGTGGAGCATTAAAATCTCCGAAATTGGTAGAACCATGTGAATTGCTCCGAATACCTTCAATTACCGAATTTGCGGAAACGGTACAATCGGCCAAAGCCTTCCTGCTCTGTTTGCCACATACATTTATATCGCCTTATTGGAGTCTCACGACGTACAAAATCCACCTCGAGGCCCCCGAACCAAGGGGAAAGTGACTCGTGCAACTTTCACTACTCAGACTCAACCCAGTAGGTATCCCCGTATAAACGTAGGTAGCCGACTCTTAAAATATGTTCCTCTTTTATTTTTACAGTGAATTTTTATACCCCTTATCACCTCTCCGACATTCACTTTCCTCAAGTGCTCCCAATCGAGCGGGACGCATCGACAAAAAAATAATCCCCAAACCAATCCACTTGAAATAGGAAAAAAACAACAAACAAATGATACAAGTGCCGATGAATAAATAATTTTTGTCCAGCGATCGGTGATCAGCAGCCGAGTGTCCAAGGACGCCTTCCTTGAAACACTTGTCTCGTTCCGCGTTCCGCGTTTCCCAGTTAATTCTCATCATCATACCAATAATCACATCCACCATCACTTTCAATAAATCCCTTTTACCACCGATTCCCGATTCCGGATTTTCGATTCCCTTACGTCGTACTTCGCGTTTCAAATATTAATAAATTGATGAACCTCTGAAGAAATATCCCTTGACAACGCGCCGTGCAATTCTTTCTCATTGAACCGAGACGATTCTGTGAAGGATACAGTTCTAAGATTTCATCGTAACGATCATTCCCTAAAACCCTAAAAAAATAACATCAACCTGATTGATGAATGATCGATGAATCAAACGTGAAATCCCCGGCCGAAAAAGGGATTTGACTCAATAATTCATCGTACAATGAGAGAAATATTGTCGCGATTAACACCCGGTGAGAAGAACCACCGAATATCCAAAAGAAGTATAAACTGGTGAAAATGAAATATTCATAGAACAGCACATGCATGTCTGGGAGGTTTGATGATAGTTGAAAGAGACAGACACGGGGACAGGGGAGAGGGCTTTGGTGCAGCCAATGCAGTGCCACTAGTCGTCAGCTAAACAACTAAACAACGACAGTACAGGCCTGTAATTTGGTTCAAGGCTAAATGCTCTCGAACCTCTCCGCGGAACTAATCTCCCGTTGCGAGAGGCGCGTACACCGGCACTACGCTTCAACAGTTAAATAACGAGAGAAATAGTATAAAGAGGAATGAGCGCAAACGAATTTTTTTTTCTCCACCGAAAAACCTCCCAAAGCCCACCCCACATCATGGACCACAAATTTCCCCACCATTTTCCACGATAGAAAAATTATTTTTCATTTTCCCCGGTTTTTCGCGGATCCGCGATTATTCCGCGGAATAGGGGAAACCGTTGGTAGTGCGCGTGGGAAAATTCTCCCATCATTTGACGTTTTATCCGTTTTATTTTTCTCATTGAAAACCTACTATTAATAACAATACTATTAATTTTCCATTTCCACTGGTTAATCTCGCCCACCATCAGTGTCCACCATCGTGGCGTGACAAGCATGCTCCCGTAGCCTTGACAGTCGACCCGACATCGGCACAACTATCCTATCCGTTCTCTTTCATGTATGTTGTCTATCTATGAAACGTTTGAAAATCATTATAACACCGCCACGCGACTCCACTGTACAGTCAGCTGATGACACGCCATTTTTCACATGATTATTTATTTTAAATGTTCAGCATGATGCAGGGGAAGGTGGACTGAAATATGGAGAACATGTGGCTGATAAGGGACCTTTTTATTTCAGGAAAACAAACAAAGGATGGACCCGAGGAGAAGAAGGACGCTGATGGTGAGCTTTGGGGCAATGTCGAGGCACAGGCCGCCTTTTTGGGGCCCAATATTTGGGACAAAACACTGCCCTATGATGCCGACCTGAAGGTATTGAATCATGTATGTACAAAGACTGAGGAAAAAGAGACATGAAAGTTACATCAAAATTATTATCATTATCTATTACCAATTAATCGGAATGGTAAGGTACATTGACGAGTGGTTTTCAGTCGGAGAGAGATGTTTTGGTTGAATTGAGGGTATTTAAGTCGTTAAAAATAAAGAGAAAATTTTCTCTGATATTATTCAGATATTTATTATCCCATGAATAATTAATGGATAATCAGGTGTTTATTCCTGGGAAGGGTTCCATAAATATTCCATATTTTTTTGTTAATGCAATTTATATTGACACGAGTACTCTCAATATTAAAACATTTTTATCCAATTTATTTTGCGTGTTCTGACAGTGTCTGAGATTAAAAAAAAAAAACAAATCATTGAAAACAAGGTAAAATAACTCAGTAACAATGTGCCTCAAGTTACTCTAATTCCCATCTCGATTTATTTCTATTTTTCCGGCATATCTCCCCGTACCCTCGTATTTCCCGTTTTTGAGGCATGCAAGTGATTGTTGGTTGCATAAGATCTCCCCTACTCCAGCTCCTTGCAAAAAGGTGGAGTGAAAAAAAAAAATATATTGCACGGTAAAGGTAAAACTGTGAGACTTCCTGGATTCGTGAAAACGAGGAAGCTCGTCGAGCCACCAAACCCGGTCCCTCTTTAAACCCACCACTCGATAATATAAACTTGAAGAGGGGATTTTCCACCCGCGATGAAACCTCCAACCAACCGTCAAGATACTTTCACTCTCTTTGCGGATATCGTCACGCCTCCAACGCGTAACCGAGTATATCGAGCAAAAGCCCCTTTTTCTATTATTTTTATATACCATCAATCTTTTTCCCACTATTTTCATACCTTTTTATTTCCCTCTGTATTTTTATCATCTATTTTTCCACTTAACGCACGTGAATTTGCCCCTGCCAATGGGGATATGCATATTCAGCATTATAAAAGTTGATATTCGTTATAACTTTCTCTTTTTCATACATCGCCCACGTTGAGTTTTATTGTTTATGGTTTTACCGACAATCTGCATGAGTCGATACTTTAATAATTAACCCCTGCGCAAGGAGAAATCACCCTTTAAAATTCTGAGACGGGGTGAATTTGTAATTTCTCGTTGCGCGCACTTATAAAAAATCTACAGTTAAATTTACCCCGGCCATTAAATTAAGAGTAATTGCGTGATTTTTGCCTGATGCATGGCATATTGTGCTCGAGGCCGGGGTAAAAATTGCTATGTCAAAATATTTGGGTAAATGTGGTCGACCTGATGATTGGATTTGTCGATTTAGTACGTCGATCTGGATGAATTTCTCTCGGAGAATGGAATCCCCGTGGATGGGGTTGGCGGGGGTGGTCAGGGTGCGATGCAGGGAAGTCAATTACACAAAATGAGTAACAGCAGTAATGAGGCAACAAGCCATCAAGGACCAGCTGGACTGCACCTGGAGCCAGTGACAAAACGCGAGAGATCGCCATCACCGAGTGATTGTTGCTCACCAGATACTCTAAATCCACCATCACCAGCCGATTCGAGTGAGTATAATGGAAAAATCCTCAAAAAATATAACGCTATCGTATCAGGTAACGACATATCGACAACAAAACGTTCTAATCGTGAACTGTGCTAATCACTCTGTACCCAATCACGGCCAATTAGTAAAGAGCTGGGGATGCGGATCACCCTTGAAAAATGATACAAAAAGAGAAAAAAATATGTCCGCACTTTGTCGAATGCGTGTTTTATTTTGCCGAGAAACAGATTCCGGGGACTCGTCACGTATACAATATGGCTTGTCTCTTGTAGCGCTCTCGATGGCGTCATCGGGGCGGGATTTTGATCCGCGGACTCGAGCCTTCTCCGACGAGGAGCTGAAACCCCAGCCGATGATAAAAAAATCACGAAAACAGGTAATTTTTACTCAGTTGTACGGGTGTACGATAATTTCACTTTTATATTCCTTATCTGATATTCTATCATTGGTGTGTAGTTTGTACCCGATGACTTAAAGGATGACAAATACTGGGCACGTCGAAGGAAGAACAACATGGCCGCTAAGAGATCGAGGGACGCACGTCGCATGAAGGAGAACCAGATTGCACTCAGGGCGGGCTTCCTCGAGAAAGAGGTGAGTATTTATTACTTATTAATGTTATTTATCAATAATTATCTCAATTGATTTTATCGAATTTCAGAACATGGGCCTTCGACAGGAACTCGATCGATTAAAGAACGAGAACATGTTACTACGAGACAAATTGAGCAAGTACACGGATGGTTAACCAATGGCTGACTACTGAGGTTTACCCCAATGACAGCAGGGCTCTATTTTTATGAAAAAAAAATAATAATGAATAAAGAAAAATCCAACCGTACTGTCTTCGGGTGAATCCAGAATTCACTCGTCCAATGGAGAACGTGTAAATTATTCTCCCTTCCTCGCGGCTATGTCTTTCCTATGGAAATAACAGGAACAAAAATCACCAGAAATTTCTTTTTCTCGGAAAAACCCATGATTTTACAATTTGATAACACAAAAGCATAAACCTGAACGAGTCATTTCCTTCCTAATCTCCACCGTCGCAGCCTCATTTGTACATAGTTTATTGTATGTATAGTTAGATTATTTGTCATATGTTGTAGTATAAAAATAATTTCACGGAGACAAAAGCAGAAATAAGAAAATGGAAAGAAACATCGTTAGAAGGGATTATCCGATTAATGAGAGGAAGGGAGGATCCGGTGGTGTGCGTCTGATTATTTGTGGGTGAGTGTTGAGTGAATGGGTGTGTGATTACTCATTATGACCTTTTGTCCATCGAGTGATTGTCCATTGAAAATGGGAGAGGAAAATTCATTGGTGAATTCAATATTTCAAATAAATATCTAAATTCTAATACGATTCATCAGTCGATGTGCGCGAGAATGACAGTAGAATCATTTCTTTACATTCGTTTATCGAGATTGCGCAAATATTGACGGATTTAGAAAAAAAAAATTTCCAGTTACATTGACGTAGCTATTTTAGAGGAGTACACCGACAATTTTTACCCATTTACTTGGCAATCCCTGTGTTCTCTTCCTTGGGCTAGAAAAATAATAACGATATCAACGTGAAAAAGAGTAGACAATTTATCAACTAGCCTTTTCTTCTTTTTAAGTTTTTAGATGTTTATTTTGTTTATATGTAATACGTAATACGTAAGATTTATATTGTACAGAGGAATTGGTACTGTAATTCAAACATCTGTGAAATAATTATTGATATGAACAAGTGAATCGTCACTCTACCAATTTCTTTATACATGTTGATAAAATCATCAGAGTCAAAAGTAAAAGAGAGTTATTAAAATGTAACATTAGATGCTGTGCAGTTGTACACGCAAATTGGACAAGAATTTATCGATTAGAGAATTTTTAAGAAATCAAAGTTTTTTTTTTGCTGAAAACAAACCGAGAGTGATTAACGATACTATTTTGATTTTTGTATTCTTTATTTTTTTTTTTGTTGTTTCCCTTATTTTCTGTTATCGAGCCACTTACGCGCACTGTCGAACAAATTTCGAGAAATCGGCCTAATGTCCATTTGAATTTTTTTACCAAACGACCGAAAGTCGTTTGAACTCGGCATGCTTTGATCAGTTGAATATTTACGTTGCGGAATCATGCGTAGACTTTTGAAAATTATTGTTTTTAATGGATATAGGAGAATAAATTGATTTGATATTTATGAAAACTTATGGATTACATGAACTAACCAATACTTACGAAATAATCAAAGTCTAGAAGAACAACACGAAGAGAGAGAAAAACAAATACACGTAATAAATAGATAACACGTATCCGATCCGCAAGCAAATCAGATATAACGGGGGATTTAAGAGTGCGCTGAGAGGAAAAATTTACAGAGAGAGAGAGAGAACGTAATGTTTATCGACGCAAGAAGAAACAAACTATTGTATCACCTTCCTAAAAGAATATATGTATTTGTTATTGTTTTACACAAAGTCTACATTATTAATTGAACATATCTCTAAAATTTTCTACACCCACATTTCACTCAAGAATAATTTTAATTGAATATTTCTCTCTGTGGAATATTGAATATCAATTTTTAATGATTATTTTAGCATATTTCAAGAGTTAAAAGTATTTCTATCATTGAAACGGTATTTTTCGATAGTGGGACTGATGGAAAACAAAAACCATTCCCCTCATTCCGCTAACTGCAACGTATACTCAATGCAAGTTCTCTTTATCGCGGAAGAAGAGAGAGCTGCATTCAGTGTATACTCCCTGCACTTTGTAGACAGGCCAGTGTATCAAGAGCAGTCGAACAAGTACGCGGCCATGAATATCCTAATTAAATTGGTAATCCTACCAGCGATCGTGTCGATCGGTGGAATAATTTACTTGCAATCAAGAACAGTGCAAATACCGGTGTACGAAAATACGTGGTGGGGCCCAGGAATTGAAAATCACAACGTAGATAAGTCAATCAAACCGTTTAAAATAGATTGGAATGACAAGGTGATCCGTCGTCTGAATTCACACGAGTACTACTGAATGATTATTTAAAATTCCAATTTCACTGCAGGACATTGAGGACTTGAAGAACCGATTGAACAGAACGAGAGACCTAGTGCCACATCTAGAAGGTGCTGGGTGGACTTATGGTATGAGTGGTAATTTTTTGAAAGAAACAATTCTACCTTATTGGATGAATAAATACGATTTCAAATCTCGTCTCACTCATATCAATAAATTTCCACTATTCAGTACGAATATCCAAGGTGACACAAATTTCTCTATTCAAGATTTCTATTAGCCATTAGACGATCATAAAAGAAAATAAAACAACCGAGACTTTTGCAGGTCTGAATATCCGTTTTGTGCACGTTAAACCGAAAAATACAAATGGAAAAAGAGTTTTGCCCCTGATTATCCTCCACGGATGGCCAGGATCAATAACTGAATTCCAAAAAGTCATTCCTTTACTGACAACCCCCCGAGACGATCAGGATTTTGTCTTCGAAGTGATCGCCCCATGTCTCCCAGGTTTTGGTTTTTCGGATGGTGCGGTCAGACCGGGACTCGGTGCACCACAAATCGCAGTAGTTCTGAAAAATCTCATGTTGAGATTGGGATTTGAAAAATATTACATTCACGGAGGTGACTGGGGTGCCATCATCACCGCAATGATGTCCAGTCTATTTCCAGCCCAGTAAATGCAGTATCATTTGACATAAAAAAATGCATAACTACTATTCTCGCCAGCGCATAATTTCATGATCAAATTTTTTGCTCATTTCAAGTGTCCTTGGAATGCACTCGACCATGTGCATTGCAACATCGCCCAAAGTCCTCTTGAAAGTGATGTTCTACAGTTTCTTTCCATCTCTCTTGCTAGCTGAGGAAGATTATCACTGGTTTTACCCCATGTCTGAGAGATTTGGTCAAATATTATACTTCACTGGATATCTTCATCTGCAAGCAACGAGACCTGATTCACTTGGTACATTTTTTATGGTGAAATTTAACCCGCAAAGTGCCCCTCATGGCGCACTCTCATTCAAACTTAGATTGATAACTATTTCAGGAGTTGGAATGGCCGATTCGCCGGCGGCTCTCGCCAGTTATGTTTTAGAGAAATTTTCCGAAGCCACTAAACGCGGTAGCATTTTCAAAGATGACGGCGGTTTATTCGATAAATTTACACCCGAGGAACTCATCGACAATCTGATGATGTACTGGATACCCAATAAAATGACAACAGCAATGCGAATTTATGCCGAGTCATTCAATAAAAAGAACAATGCGTGGGCACAGCAGTGGGTATATTCCCATTCATGCGAGGGAAAATATTTATTCAAGGATAAATGACAATCGGTATAATTATTATTTTTCCTATTTTATTAGGTGGCCAGTGGAAATTCCAAGTAGTTGTGCCCAGTTCCCTCACGAAATCTCGTGGTACCCGCGGGAATTCCTCCAGGAGAGGTTCCTAAATTTAGTTCTCGTTACGAGAATGCCTCGCGGTGGTCACTTTGCCACCCTCGAAGAGCCGGAGCTTGCCGCCAACGATATCCACAAGTTCGTCGGCATTGTCGAGGGCCAGAGGATGGCGTTCGCTCAGAAATCCGCGATGAAAACTGATTTGTAGAGTTCGAAAGTCTCTCTAAATCAGTCTCTACGATTATCTTTTAATAATTTCTTTTTCTCCAGTTATGGTGTCACTTGATTGCGGAGATTAATAAAGTCATAGAATTAATGACTCCAATTTTTTTTCATTAGCAAATGACGGGCCGATAGAATAATTTCCAATTCAAGATATCGATCAACGGAAGCTACCGGTAAATATTATCGATTACAGACTGGAATTTTGTTTATTTTGGCTCATATGTTGATAATATTGGATGCGAGAATATGAATCGATATAAAATCCCCGGCTATTCTAACTGACTGGACTGTAATTAAATTCGCTGACTACTCGTCTGACAGAAGTATCTTTGTATAATCATTATCTTCGAGTTTCTACACTGACATTCTCAGTGAACTCTGTCCCCAGTGTTGTACACCATAAAATAATTTCGCAGTATCTGCAAAACGAGACATAATAAAAAACGATACAATTTATTCCAGATATTTTGGATATTGTCTTCCCATCGAGCCGCGTATTCAGAATTTTTTTTTTTTATAATCAGTACAGAGATAAAAGTACATGACTCGCGTATATGTATTGAGAGGCAGAGTGATAAATAAATGATAAATCGACGGCGATGGATGGACCCGAAATTTGAAGACTTGTGTATCTCTTTTTAATTATTTTTGAATTCCAATCAGACACGCACTCATTATAACAAATAACTTGAGTTACTGTCTGCAACGAGTTATCTACGAGTTATTAATAATTTTAAACAGTGACGGTGTCATTACGGCAATAATTTTCCTCTATACTTCGGTAGCTCGTCCCCACTTTATCCTGACCTCGGTTGTTATATCAATTCGAGTTAGCAACGCAGTTGGTGTTCGTCGGTTGATTCACACAGTTTTAAAACCGTAGAACCAACTGGTGATGATTGTTAAAGGGATTTTAGGAGTTCTGCTGGCCATTGGAGCCTCTTATTATTTCGTGTGAGTGTCACTCATTAATTTTCATTGAAAATCATAATTACATCGATGTAATTGTTTATCCAGAGGTCCGATCCTGCTGAACGATAAGCCCCATGAGGTCCCAAAACTGGTGGAAAAAAATTGGGGACCTGCTGGAGTCAAGGAGGACTCTTCCATCAGACCATTTAAAATCGATATCCCGAAGGATGTGAGGGATTGATCTGAAGGACTAATAATTTTTACTTTTGCTTATTTAAAAGCTGGTTTTAAATGGTTATTTTTGATTAGGTAATCGTGGATCTGCAGAAAAGATTATCCAACACCAGGGAGTTGACCCCACCCTTGGAGAACACCGGCTGGACATACGGAATCTCGGGGGCATCCCTCACGAAAATTCTCGATCACTGGAGAAATAAATACGACTGGTACAAACGGCAGGAGTTGCTCAACAAGTATCCGCAGTTTCTAACGAGAATTCAAGGTTGTTGTTATCGGTGATTAGTCAGTCAGTTTTGACTGGAGCTGTGTCATGACTGATAGCTTTACAGGTCTTGACATTCACTACATCCACGCCAAACCAGCGAAAACGGTTAGCAATGGCAAGACCTTGAGGGTTCTTCCACTCCTAATAGTGCACGGATGGCCAGGATCGGTTGTCGAGTTCCAGAAGATCATCCCAATGCTGACGACTCCACGACCTGATGCTGATTTTGTCTTTGAAGTCATTGCCCCCTCATTGCCGGGATATGGATTTTCACAGGGGGCAGTTCGTCCAGGTCTTGGACACGCCCAGGTAATTGAAATAATAAATTTCTCGCAGGACTGAATTCTTTTTTAAATTCATGTCAATGCATTTTATTATTTCAAGCGAAAATTCCGTTTCCTCAATTTATATTCTTCATTATTTCCTTATTCGGGATGACGAAACGATTTTTAGATCGGCGTGATTTTCAAAAATCTGATGACTCGCTTAGGATTCGATAAATTCTACACGCAAGGCGGGGACTGGGGAAGTGCAGTGACTTCGGACATCGCGATATTATTCCCAGAAAGGTATGTAATTAATTCGATGTCGTGGGTAGAACTGATAATACATTATTACAACAGGGTACTGGGATCGCATTTGAATATGTGCTGGGTATCCGGTGGCCAGGCGATGTTCTGGCAAGTCCTGGGGTCTTTCTTCCCATCTCTCGTTGTCGACGCCAAATATGCGTCGAAGATGTACCCCATGTCGCAGCATTGGTCCAGGACAATCGAAGAATCTGGATACTTCCATCTGCAAGCGACTAAACCGGATACCGTAGGTGAGTACTTCAATTACTCAATTTTATATTATTGTATTGTTTATTTTTATAATTTTTCCCGCAGGGGTTGGCCTGAATAATTCACCGGCGGGTCTTGCCGCCTACATTCTGGAGAAATTCAGCACCTGGACAAATCCAGAGTACAGATTCCGTGAGGACGGTGATTTATTAGATAAATACACATTAGACGAACTTCTTGACAATGTCATGATTTATTGGGTGACTAATTCCATCACTACAAGTGTCAGATTGTACGCCGAGAGTTTCAGCGCGGAGAATCGCAATAAATTCGATCAGTGAGTTAAATATCTCCTCGAACCACTTCTTCAGGGCAATAATTTCAATTTGTTTATCAAATTACAGCCTCCAGTCGTATGTACCAACGGCATGTGCTGTTTTTCCTCATGAAATCCTCTACATATCCGAGAAAATCGCTAAACTGCGGTTCAAAAATTTAACCCAATTCAACCATTTGCCACGTGGGGGGCACTTCGCTGCCTTCGAGGAACCGAAAATTCTCTCGGATGATCTGTGGACGTTCGTGAAAAACCTTGAAAATCCTTGAAATTTTATATTTTTTATTTTTCCGATTGAGAAGTAAGAGAACACAACCGATTTTATATTTTTTATAATGAACACTGAATTGTAAATTTCTAAATAAAATGGGGAAGATGGAATATTCTCAGGAAAACTCGTGAGTTCTAAATAGCGGACCAAAAGAGGATTGACTGAAGTAGAGGCTCAGTTTTGGGGGTTAGGGTGACCCCAGCGGCATCGTAGTGCTGCACCCCAAGAGAAGGAGGGTGCAATACGCAATGCTGGGGTGTCCATGAAGTCGTCAGGGTGAATTTTATTTTCTGCGGCATGAATGCTTTTTGTTTTTTATTTATTTAACTGAAATTTAGCCGACTGTCGAACGAGTGGAAGGGGGAAACCACATCTTGTTGAATTTCAATGGAAAAAATTATTCAATATATTGAATATATACCACTAATGAATTTTTATTTGCAGAACGAGTGCGTTGTCCTAGCGGTAACGTGCTCGATTTTTACGCCGACGGCCAGGGTTCGATCCCGCCGTCATTCATTTTTTTTTTTTCAAAATAATTCCATTTTTATCTTTTTTAAATGGCTAATCAATGGAAATATTGTTTAAACACTGAATTTTTGAAAATCGAGAAGATATTCAGTGAAATTGACAAATTTTAAATTTTTTTTAAAAATACCCTTTCAAAATATATACCCCTATTGAAATTATATATTCAGAATAAGCGCGTTAGCTAAATGGTAACGTGCTTGCCTACCACGCCGACGGCCCGGGTTCAATCCCGCCGTCATTCATTTTTTTTTTTTAAATAATTCTAATTTTTTATTTTCTAACTGGCTAAATAAATCGAAATATTGGTTGAAAACTGAATAGCTCCTCGATTGTCATGTTCCCCTGATACTTTTACAAAAATTTCGAATTTTTCACTTGCAGTGAAAATTTCAGTGAATAGCTCCTTGATTGTCATGTTCCCCTGATACTTTTACAAAAATTTCGAATTTTTCACCTTCAGTGAAAATTTCAGTGAATAGCTCCTCGGTTGTCATGTT